AAGAAAAAGTAAACATCCTGAGCTGACTACACATTGTGCTGCTCGTTACAGGTAGGTTAAACTCTTCGGCGGATATCTTTCTAGCTCGATTCTGGGATGTGTATCTGTGGCAGCTTGGCTTCTAACCCAAGCTTCGCGCTCCTTACTGGCACCTGCAGTAAGCTTTCAACAATCAACCAACAACTACAACAAACTCAGTCCAGCGAACTATCTATATCCTATTATTATCCACTTACACTTGCACTTATACATACACATATACCTGTACATACACTTATACATATACACATAGCAAACAAGTACCCAAATATAAATAAATTCAAAGGCTAAAAAACAAACTGTACACATTTTCATTTTAGATATGCTTTTGCTGGAAAAATTATAAAGCCCGCACTCTCTAGCTGGCCATATACGCAGCATTAGACCACAGGAACTGAGAAATACTGAATATATCCCCTAGAAACAATGTAAATGCCGACCAATGAGCTGTGCTCGCATACTTGAACACCTTGGAAAAATGGGTTTGGTTTGAGGGCGCATGGACTTCATTTTTAGTTTTGCAACTTGCATATGCAATGAGTTTAAAAATCTTGGCAATTGCGCTTTACAGCATAAAACACCAGTAGAAGAGAAAAATACCACCTTTAAATGCAGGCTTTATTCATAGCGACACCTGCATCCGCATAGATGCAGTATTGCACTGGCCAAGTTTCTTCCTGTCCTTATAGAATGTTTTTCGCAGTGGATGCGCCCAGGCAGTACATGCTAAATATGCCCTTGAATTGCAGCTTTAGCACTGCCAAAAGCGCTCGCGTGTTTTCAAACCAGCTAATTTCGAGTCTTCCAAGTCGACACTCTCTTCTGCACGGGGCTCGCAAATGCTTCTTTCAGAGGTTTTGAGCGTCCTCCCCCCAAAGTACTTGTCGTACGTTTTATATACCTTTATGGTTGCATATGAGTACAAAAGCAGGCCGCACGAATATCGGACCATGCGAGCTGTTTTTTCTAACGTTGCGAAATTTACCATATTGCAATTGTTTTTCAGACAGCATTTTTATGCGATAGAAGCATCATGCAGATGTCAAATGCAGATGTCAAATTTTCATTTTTGACTTCATATAACACAAGAAATTGCCGATTCTGTGCACAAGACTGCATTAATATCGGGATTCACGTCCCGTACTTTTAAAGAAAGCAGGCAGGCACTGCCCCTTTATACTGGGCAAGTGCTGCAGGATGGAAACTCCGCAAAACCTCCAGACTATAATAGTATACTTTATTTGTGCGTCTATTCATGCACAGAGCAGGCTCTATGCAGTTCTACTCTGTGAATACGATTCTCTGGGGCCTTGAAAGTGCCTCTTCCTGGAAAGGCGTTTCTTCAGGCTGGGGCATTGCAGGGCCTTTTTCCTTTGCGGTTTCTCTCTTTACGATTTTAATCCCTTTTCTTTTGTGCGTTTTCATGAAGTGCCTGTACTCGTCTGGATTTGCCTCTGCAGTCAATTTCTTTATATTTTGTATTTTTTCTTCTCTCTCTTGCACGTGGCGGCTTCTTTCCAGGAAGTGCCGGTTCTTTTCTAACGCGCCAAGGCTTTTTCTTTCCTCTAGCTGGCCTCTTTCCCTATAGTTTGTCTGTCTCTTTTTCATTGATTTTTTGCTAAAAAATTGTATGGAATGTAGTAAATGTAAGAGTAGGATAGAAGCAGATGAGAATGTAAATAGAAAAGTGGAGCTGTTGGGAGACGGTGCGCTGGAAATGCTTTGTAGTATATGCAGAATATGCTACATTTGCTACACAAAATCAGAAGAAGAAGCCAAATGCTGCAAGTCTTGCGGATACTTCTTCCATCCTTTGCACATGCAGGAAGATCACGCGGAAAATGATGGGCACGCCCAAACTTGCGGAAAGTGCCGCCTTCTGGAGGGAGCGATAGAATTTGATGCTTTGCTTGGCCCTGAAATTCCTGCGCTGGAAAGACACACTGAGGAGATAGACTCTGGGCTGCAAAAGAAAATAACGGAAATTGTCCGGAAGAATCGGCCAGGCAAGAATCCAGACGGCATCAAAACAGTCTTTCTGGGAAGCATAGAAATGAGTCCGCTCTTTTCCTCGCCATACCCGGAGGAATACATCAAAAGGCCAACTCTGCACATATGCAACAAGTGCTTGGACTACTTTCCTACCGTGTACATGATGCAGCGGCACAAGAAAAAGTGCCGGCTAAACTATCCCCCTGGAAGACTGCTTTACCTGGACCCGGAAGACGTGGCAGTGTTTGAAGTCGAGGGCACGAAAGAGCCGCAGTACTGCCAGAGTCTCTGCCTCCTTGCAAAGATGTTTTTGGACCACAAAACACTCTACTACGACGTGGAGCCGTTTCTTTTCTACATCATTGGGGAGGTAAAGGACGGAAAGTTTATCATACAGGGATACTTCTCCAAGGAGAGAGGGGAGGGAAAAAACAACCTCTCGTGCATTGTCGTGTTTCCTCCGTACAGGAAGCTGGGCCTGGGGTCTTTTTTGATAGACTTCAGCTATTATTTGACCCGGAAAACGGTGAATCCCCCGTACGCAGGAGGCCCTGAACAGCCGCTCTCAGCAGACGGGGAGAGGGCGTACCTGGCGTACTGGGGAAACTGCATCCTGCGATTCATATGCCACAAAAGACAGTTTTCACCCGATGAGAAGTGCTTTGAGGACATCTCCCTGCTCACAGGAGTGGACAAGAAAAACATCCAGTGGGCGTACAGGAAGCTCTGCGAAAGCGCAAACAAAGAGCTAGTATATGCAGACTTTCTGGCAAACAAGGACGCATCCAAAAGGATACGCCGGCTCAAGAAGGGCGCGTACGTGCAGAAGAGTGTAGAGAGCTTAGAAGAGGGCGCAGAAGTGCCAGAATAAAAACCCGAATTCTACATGAAAGCAGGTACTTGTAATGGGTTATTGCTTAGATGGGCCTAGTTAAGGCTGCACAGCTTAGACAAGAAGGGATAGATTGAGCACTGGCCATATAAGAAAACAGAGAAATAATAAAGGCATGAATTTCACAGCACTACAGACAGCACGGAATAAAGGCGTAATTCTATCCGGGTTTTTTTACACAATTTTCTCAGCGCTTTCCAAGCAGAAAAATTCTGTGAGTTCGAGTTAAAGTGCACAGTTTAAATTCAGACTGTTCAAAAAACATGCGCTTGGCATCAGCTCTTTATTAACTAATAGCACCCTTTTTCGGATGCTAGGCTAGTCACCCCAAGCACTTTTGCTATTTTCTGGTAGTTTGTCCACCTGTTCTTGGCCGCGCTATTTGGGCCTTTTCCGCACTCTATCGCACCGTTTATGGCCTTTGTAGTTTCTCCAAAATTACTCAGCGGAGACTTTGACGTCATCACACGGGCGTTCCAGTACCAAATGCTCACAGCAGCTGCCACCGACTTGTCACTCGCAACCTGATCAGGGTTTGTGTACAGCCTGTCGTCCTTGTATATGGAGTTGCTGGCGTCCTTGTAGTTTGAGGGCCACGACAGCTGGATATATCCCCTTCCAAAGTAGTGCTTGCCAGGAGACGCAACAACAGTGCCGTTTGCCTTGTTTGCGTTGTCGTAGTTCGTGCACGGAGTTGACACGCAGGCTTTCTCTACGAGTTGGGTCAGTCCGCCGGACTCGTGGTATATTTGCGCTAAGAACATGCTTTTTTCGTTGTTGTCCCAGGACTGCTTGTTTATTTGAGAGACCAACTCAGCGACAAAGTCCTGCTTTGGGGCTCCTCCATATCCACACGCACTCAACGTGCTCTTCACCTGGTCTGCTGTTAGTGAAGACTTGTTTTTGCTGGGGGCTCCTCCAGAAGATCCGCTGCTGGCACTTGCGCTGGAACCTGAACTGGAACCTGAATTTGCAGCAGGTTTTGCGCCTGTTTTGCTGGCTCCAGGAGTGCCGGAATTGCTTATGGCAGGGACGGAAAGTGTGCTTCCAGCCTGTGAAATCGCGCTTTGTGCAGAGCCAGCAGCTCCGCCAGAGGCACTGGAGCTTGGAGCTTGCACTCCCGAGCCCACGCCGCTTCCAGGGTCGCTGAAGTTCACAGCAGGAGTGCTCTTGTCAGGAGAAGAGTCTTTTGAGTTTGAGGCACTAAAACCATTCGAAGAGTTTGAAGTATTCGAGGAACCATTTGAAGTATTCGAAGCACTAGAAGAGTTTGAAGTATTCGAGGAACCATTTGAAGCACTAGAACTATTTGAAGTATTCGAGGAACCATTTGAAGAGTTTGAAGTATTTGCTGAACCATTTGAAGCACTAGAAGAGTTTGAACTATTCGCTAAACTAGGACTGCTTGGACTGCTTGGACTGCTTGGACTGCTTGAACTGCTTGAAGGATTCGCAGAGTTCGAGCTAGAGCCCCGGAATTCTGCATAGTTGTTGAACTCTGTGGGTATTTTAAAGTCAATATCTCCTATGCCAGAATCCTTGTACTCTATGACTATATTCCCGCTCTGTGCACTGTCCATGAAGCTTTCATTGAAAGAAGTACCGCTGCTTCCTCCGCTAGAGGGAGAGATACTCCCGCCGGAGGAGGCACTTCCTGCACTGGGGATTTGGCTGGGCATGACTCCTCCAGTGGTACTCTCCTTTCCTGTGATATTCGCATCTTCAGTTGGCATGACAGATGCGCTGGGCTTAATATGCATGTTCCCAGGCACCATAGGATCAAAAGAGTCGAGAATCTCATGCGCAGCATCACCCACAGTTACGCTTTTTCTTGTTTTTTCAGGGTCAGGCACAGTCCGGGTAGGTTCTGCGGTGGGGTGCTTAACAGTCACTGAAGGAGTCACATTCGGGGGCAGTGTTATAGTCACAGTGCTTATTTTGACGTGGTCATCGGCCTCTTTCGCGCACTGAACTTTCCCATTTGCAGAGACGCAGTAGTGGCCCTCCTTGCACGGGAATATTCCCCATGTATTGTCATTTCGTAGCAGCCCTATGCTATTTCCTATGCATTTCGCGTCATTATAAACACCCTCTAAACTTGCCACTTTTCCAGCGTATATGCGCTGTATTCCGGCTAGAAGCATATATGTCATGCAGAGTCCTTTCATGCTATGAAAACATTTGTTTTCTTAATACATATACAGCACGGACTGTTTCACATTTGCGCCAGAAATATCACTCTCTCTGCTACAGTGTTTGCTCTGCGCTTATGAAGAGCTGCCTTTATTAAGCCGAGAGTTTCACATTTCTCATGCTTTGCAAAGAGGAGGAAAATTCAGAGGGGAGCGTTTTAGAAAGAGTGTCGCAGAAAGTGGAGTACTTGGTAAATCTGCTGAGAACATCTTCCGAGGGAATAGTAACTGACAAGATTCTGAAGGAAATACTCGCGCTGCACACGGTCCTGCAGGACAACAAAGAGTGCATAGAGAGCCAGGAGTACCACAAGATGCATATAGACGCAGAGTGCAGGAAGCGAGTAAAAGAGAGCAGAGACTACACAGACATACGCAGCAAGAGAAATGCAGAGGTTGTTGCAGAGGATGCTGAAGAGGTAAAGTTCTGCCTAATAACACAGAAGGAAATAGAGGAGAAAGTGGAGGCTCCGTGCGGGCACGTCTTTGACAAAGAAGGCCTGGCTTTCCTCTACAAGAATACCCCGCAGAAGAAGAAGTTCCAGTGCCCGTACGTCGGATGCAAGAGCGACTGGCATGCACTGAAGTATAACCCGACAAAGACAAAGTAGAGATGTTAATACGATG